TCACTGTTGTGGCCTCTCCCGTTGCGGAGCACAGGCTCTGGACGCGCAGGCTCAGCGGCCATGGCTCACGGGCCCAGCCGCTCGGCGGCATGTGGGATCTTCCCGGACCGGGGCCGTGTCCCCTGCATTGGCAGGCGGACTCTCAACCACTGCGCCACCAGGGAAGCCCTTCTTAAGGGACTTTTGATGGGCAGTTTGAAGAACAGCCGTTGACCAATGTGGTTGGCTTAGCGCTGGAGTTTCAGTGGACTCGGGTTTATTTGCTGTATCTGTTTACTTTTCAGTGAGCTGGAACGGCTGAGCAACTTGGTCGGCAAGCCTTCTGAGAACCATCCTCTCCATAACAGTGGGCTGTTGAGTCTGGATCCCGTGCAGGACAAAACCCCTCTCTACAGTCAACTCCTTCAGGCATATAAGTGGTCAAACAAGGTAAGGGGGACATGTCAGACATGGAGCTAATATAGGAAAAAACAAGTTTTCTTACATTTCATAAAGGCAGAGAGTGAGGGTTTTTCTTTCCTTTTTTGTTCTTGATTCAGCATCGGGTTACAGAGTTGGAAGTTTCAGACTTCCCTTTGAAGTCTTTGAGGATTGTTCAGAGTCAGGTGTGTTTAACCTGGTTGCTGGGTGTAGGGAGCAGCTTTTATGAACCCCATGAAATCACATGCAGAATGTTTGTGTGTGTGTGTGTGTGTGTGTGTGTGTGTGTGTGTGTGTGTGTGTGTTTTTCTGGGGAGGACTTCCTAGCTTTCATCAGATTCTCAGAGGGGTCCCTGACCCCCAGAAGGTGAAGGACTGCTGGTCTCAGTGTGCAGCCGCTCACATGGTTTATGTTACTTGGCCTGTCCTCCCCATTGTTGATGGAAGAACATCACTAGAGTTTGGTAGATTACTGTTTGGTAGATTACTGTCTCTCTCTCCCTGCCCCCCGCACCGTGCCGCACGGCCTACGAGATCTTAGTTCCCCAACTAGGGATCGAACCCAAGTGTGGAGTCTTAACCACTGGACCGCCAGAGAAGTCCCCATCTCTCTCTTTTTTTTCATCTTTTTTTTTTTTTAATTGACGTATAGTTGATTTACAATATCGTGTTAGTTTCAGGTGTGCAGCACAGCAATTCAGTGATACGTGTGTGTGTGTGTGTGTGTGTGTGTGTGTGTGCGCTTCCTCAGATTCTCTCCCTTATATGTTATTACAAACTATTGAGTATAGTTACCTGTGCTATAAAATAGATAACCAGCAGTAGCTTCTTGCTGGTTATTTATTTTATACATAGTAGTGTGTATACTATGTATAAAATAAATAACCTCCTAATACTCTCTTTTCTCTAATTATTCTACACCCGTCTGAGGGAGATTGTTCTAAACACTCTCCCTAGAATTTGCTATTCATGGTTTCCTGCAGTAGGCAGGCCCGTGGCGTAACCTTAGGATAGCTGTAAAAGGAAAACTAAGCTGTAGTGTAAAAATAACAGGAACAATTAGGCTCATAAGCCTGGAAACAGTTAGTTTGTTTACTAACAAGTTCCTCTTGTTTGGGTGCTGTGGGTTATTGTGTTTTGTTTTGTTTCGTTGCTGCTGAGAGAAAGCTAGAATATATGTTTGGAACATTTTGGGAAGCTTTTCTCATTAGACTGCTACCTCCCTGGAGATAATTGTTCTTACAGTTACTGATTGTGAACTGCTCTGCCCCCTCCAGTTATCCGTCATCCTTTTCCTCTTTCCTGTGGTTCTTTTCCCTCTCAGGTCTTAAGTGACAGGTGAGCCTTGACTGTGTTTCCAGTGTGTAGAATTTTTCCCTTGAATTTGTCTGGAAGAGTATTTAACATTCTTTGGTTTGCAGTGGAACCCTGGCGGCTGAATCTGAGACTCAGGGAGAAATGACTTATTTTGGGGCACTTCAAGAAGGACCTTGAACGTGGTATGCGTGCATTTAACCTCTAAGGCTTGTCCTCCAAGCTCTGGGTTGCTGTTGACAGAGACCCACTTCAGTCTTGAGGATCAGGGTGCCCAGGTGGTATGGGGATCTGTCACTCTCCTGCCCTATCTACGCCTGCTTCCCAGTGTTGGCCTGATATCTCCCAGTGGTGGAAAAGACACACTGGCAGCTGTAGGTTTGCGCGGTCCTTCTACCAGGTGATCTCCAGGTGTCCACACCAGACCCTAAAAATGGATTCTGGCCTTGTTTGGTAGGTGGCCCCTACCTACCCAGACAGCTCATTGAGTTCTGGGGGTGGGATTCTCTGACTGCCCAGTGCAGATCAGCTAAAGCACAGAATTGGGGCTGCTTGGAATTAGATAGAGGCAGGAGAGGACGCTGGGCAGACAAGAAATTAGAGATGTCTGTTGCAGTTCCCAGGGCCAGACATGAGACTGTTCTGGCCCTATGCAGATAGCCCTGCCCTCTCAGGGTTTTCTGTTTGAGCATCCTTATTTCCCCAGGGGCATGCTTGGACATCTTAATGTGAGTTTACCTGGTGATTGGGTGGGATCTGATCTGTAGGTGACTTATTTCTGGTTGGACTCCTGGTAGAAAGTCTTGCTTTTTGGTGTTTGGACGTGGAAGCTGTGTTCCTGTATCATGTGGGTAATGTTCTTGGAATAGGCTTGAGGGATGGAGACTTTTCAATGGTGGGAAGATTTAGGCTGATCTCGAAACCCTGAGTGTGTGGGACTCCAGTGGAAGTGACTGGTTTTAACTTGGAGTGATGACTCTTAACTTTTGATTGAAGGTAGTTTTAATTGTTTGCTGAATTTATTAGAGTATTAAAATAGAAGATCCTGTCCCTGCCCCCCACCCTTGCCCTCAGGTGGAAAAGAGGATGTGTTAAGGAAAAGAAATATTATGTATGTGGAAATTCTTGTCCTGGAGATGCTACAGCTTAAAACTAGATGTAGAAATGTATCACAGATTTTAGGTCCCATATGAGCAGTGTGAGTGGTGTAGGGGTTCAGTCATGTCCTGGCCTGGTGCGTGCCTCTAAAGTAACTGCTCTTCCACCGGCTTCCGAGTGCCCCAGCAGAGGGGGGACTTTGGAGTCTTATACCATTAATTGGCAAAATAAAGAGAATGATTAAGAGATGTTTAGCTTACCCCCTTATTTTATAGCCAAGCAGACCAAAGCCAAGTGAACCAACCTGCTCATGGCTTCATAGCTAGACTAGAATTTGCCTTTCCTGATGTAGGTCAGTGTTCTTTCCTCTAAAACTTGATGCTTTAATCAGGTTTGGCTTAAGGTTTTGACTATAGCAAACATTTTCCCCCTTTAACCTTCATCACAGGAGCAATTCATATATTTTATTTATGAACCGGTATCACATTTTACTCATTTTTAGTGGTTTACTGAAGGATGGAGATGGCAAATACATGGGACATGGTCCTGAAACTGTCAGTCTTGTCCAGGGCAGACATCACTTACCACCCTCTGTATTCTTTCCTGCTAAGGCAACCTCTGGGCTCACAACTCTGTTCTGGGGCTAGGCAGCCTCTGCCAGTTATTCAAAGGTGGGCTACAGGGGAAACGTTTTTTATTTCTGTTATGGTAGATAATGTCCTATTTGACTATTGCTTATTTATACCTTACCTTACTCTGGAAGGGATTTAAGATCTATTATACAAATACTGTACTCCAAACCTTGAAAGAAAAGAGGAAAACAAGGGTAAGGATGCCTTATGTACATTTCTTTAATAAACTCAACAAGTAGCGCCAAGAAATAAGCCAGTATTCTTATTTCCAGCTGGGGATATGGAAGCAGCAATAATATGTGTTTATCATGCCTCTCTTACAAATGAAAAGAGCTTTTTAATTGCAAAAGCTTTCATCATTCTTCATTTTACCCTCGAAGAGTTTAAACCGGAAAGTGCATTAATATGTTAGGTGAAGTTGAGGGTAACTTGCCAATGTCAGCTTTCTGCACTGTTGGCTAAGAATTGAAGGAAGTGTGGGAAAGGCTTTGATACCACCCATTATGTGATGAACTTTCTATTTTATGTGCCATTGGCCATAGAGAAGTCTCATTCATGCTTACTGACTAATTATTTTCTTTAGGGGATTTTGTAATTTTTATAAAGTCAGAATATTAATTACATGGTAGTTGGCATAATTGTTAGGATAACACATTTAAAAATTAACCTAAAAAAAAAAATTAATCTAATCTAATGAAATGATGTCAAATTGCTGGGAGCAGCACTTTTCCCATGCTGAATTGGGGAAAGAATTTAGCTTTCAACTCTTGTGCACCTATAGATTATTGTTCTGTAGAGAGATGACAAGCTCTCGACGACGGCAAAAAATAATTGGCGTCAACGCGGTCCTTGCTGTAAGGTAGTGAATGTGAACATAATGAGGAAAGAAAATCACTTAAATGCCCCCCAAAACCTTAATTAATCATCATGACTTGGGATCAGGCGCTGTTCTGGATTGTTCTTATTATGTTCAGATATGCTGAGAGTTAGGCTGAACTATTCTGAAGGCCCCTTTCCGAAGGTTTCCAGTGTCCTGTCTCCAGGCTTTGATTTCCGGCTTTGACTTTCTTTATTTGTTTATGGCAGGAGGCTGCTTGTGTATTTGCCTGAAAAGGGGGTGAAGACTTCAGCCTTTTCCTGGTGACGTCTCAAGCAGCAAAGACCCCAGAAGTGTCACCTTCTCCCGGGGTTGGGAAATGGGCCCTGAGGAAGGGGCTGGCGCTGCCTTTTCTTTGTTTTTGCATGCTTAATCTTTCACTTTTATTAGAGAAAGAGCAAATTTCAATTCCAAGGGTATTCAGTTGGAAAGCCTGAAGACATTTCCTCCACTCTACCTTCCCGAGCTGTTCTTATCAGAATCTAGTTACTCAGTGGCTTTAAGTTGCTATAACATTCATGTCCCTCACATCCAGCCTTGAAGGTGCTCTTGACGTTTTGGCATCATGGAGCTAATGGGTAGGATTGGTTAAAACTGCAACACGGAGCCTTTTCCCTTAGGGGCCCCGTCCTCTTTTAGGTCCCTGAGGAGAGAGACTGTGTCCCTCTTATTCCCAGGGGGGAGTCCCCAGCGCCTAGCAGGGCTCCTGGTACTCAGTGCACATTCAATTAAAATTCACTGAATGAATGAAAGAATAAGTAAAAAGGGTTTTCTGTTGAATTTTTAATTTACAACCCCTTTTGTGTTTTGCTTGCTTGTATTTTTGATGACGTGCCATCAGGACATTTCCATTTTGGGCCATTACTGAGAAATTTAGTTGTGCTACTTGTAGATGAGAGAAAATTCTGAGGTCCTATGCTGGCGGCCAGGGCCAGATTCCAGAAGGGTAATTTGGAAGGAAAGGTGAGGTCAGTTGGTGAACTGATGATACGCTCTTTGAGGGCTGAGGTTGGAAGTTTCATCTGTGTTGCCTGTCATCTGGTGTTCCCTTCCTGAGAGAGCCGGGTTGGCAGCCAGTGCTCAGGAGG